ACCTGCTGGGCTCCGGCGATCCTTCGCCTCAGCCTTCCGAGTAGCTGGAACTGCAGGCGCGCGCTACCATGCCCAGCTAATTTTGATTTATTGTAGAGATGAGGTCTCGCCAAGTTGCCCAGGCGGGTCTCAAATCCACGGGCTCAGGCAGTCTACTCACCTCAGCCTCCCAAAGGCGCGGGATTACAGGCTGAGCCACCGAGCCTGGCTTTTTCTGTATATTATTACTAAAGACAGCGTGCAGCAGTCTGATTGCAGAGCTTTTTAAATTTTTATTATCTCTCACCCATACTTCATTTGATGGCTGTTTTTTTAGCAACTCATTGTTACCTTTTTGCCCAAGCCATTCAACATGGCTTCCATAGAGGAAACGATGGCCTTTCTTTTTGCACATATTTTATCCGTTTACATGTTTAATTAAATTACATAACTGCAGTCAACATAGTACAACTGGCATAAACAGGTTTCAGAACAAATACAACTAATCCTTGGTTTGATAAGCATAGAACTCAACTGGACTGTCTCGCTAGCAGCAAGGGCTTGACAGACCCTGGGCACTGGTTAGACTATTTGATCCAGGGACTGGAACATGCTAGTTAGTATGTTGTGTTAATTAATTAAGTGGTTGTTGCACAGAAGAGCTTGTATGGGCCTATGAGGCTAGGATAGCTGCAGCTTCAGGAAGAAGCAGAAAAGGTGCTCTTGGGATGTGATGTTCTTAAAATAGTGCTGGTATAAAAGGGTGGTTCCCCCCAACCCAGAATTTATTTATTAAAAATGCATATTTTTATGTGTTTAAACTTCAGTCACTTTCAAAGAACTCTCCGTTTGATGCAATACACCTATCAAGATGCTTTTTCTACTGCTCAAAACAGTTTTTGAACTCATCCATTTTGAGGCCTTTTAGTGCTTCTGCCATTTTTTTGCTTCTACATCAGCAAAAGGTTTCCCTTTGAGGACTTTTTTCCAGTGGAAACAAAAAAAAGTTGTTTAGGGCGAGATGCAGTGAATAGGGAGGATGGGGCACAAGGGCCATGCCATTTTTTGGTTAGAAACTGCTGACACTTACCGTGGTGTGGGCAGCTGCATAGTCATGGTGGAGAAACCAGTCACCTGTTTGCCACAACACGGGATGTTTCTTCCACAACCTTCTTCAAACTTCTGGATCAAAACTTTGGTTGACCATTTGATCCAGAGAAATATTCTGAGTATACGACAAGTTACCTGCCCTCCAAAAGATAATTCTGGGGCTTTTTTGGGTCCCCCCTCAGATAATAAGCACTTAATAAGGCTAAAGCATTGGTATTATCACGATTATTTTCATCATCATTATCTGGTATGTCTGAAAAAATAAGAAGGGACACAGATCTGACTCCTGTCCTCCTAACCCAGCCACTGCTCTGAGTTAAAGCTTTTCTAGAAAGAGCACTATGGGAATAACACACTGTGGCACATCCATACAGCAGAATACTCAGCAACAAGATGGGATGAGTTACTGATACACACAACTTGGATGAATCTCAGGCATGATGCTGAGTGAAGTGAAAGAAGACAATCTCAAAAGGTTACATACTGCATGACTTGCTTATGTGACATTCTGTAAAGGCAGATGAGAGTGAGAACAGATCAGTGGCTGCCAGGGCTTGGGGGCAGGAAGAGGGGGTGATTGCAGTGGGATGGCACAAGGGAATGTCTTGGGGTGATAGAACGGTTCTGCATCTTGGTTTTGGTGGTGGTTATTCAAATTTATAAGAGTTAAAATTCAGAAAACTGTATACCCCCAAATGTACTATATGTTAATTTAAAAAAACAAAAGTAAAAATAAAGCTTAAAAAGTGAAAGGCCCTGTAGAGAGCACCCTGGTGCTCATGTGTCTAAGCTGGCCTGGCCTCAATACTGGCTGAGTGACGCTTCTGTCCAAGCTCAGCATGTGTGCCCAGGCCTGGTTCTTCACTTCCTGGCCCACCATCACTCACTAGCTTTTTCCTTCCTCCTGTTAGATTGGAGCTGGAGGGAGCATCACTGGGCTGAAGTTTAACCCTCTCAATACCAACCAGTTTTACGCCTCCTCAATGGAGGGAACAACTAGGCTGCAAGACTTTAAAGGCAACATTCTACGAGTTTTTGCCAACTCAGACACCTGCAAGTGAGTAGTTTAACTAGTAGGGGAAAGAGCTTCTGAGCTCTAGGTGTAGTTCTGGCAAGATCCCATTTCTTTTACCCAAACCTGGTGCAGGGAAGAAAGGAAAAGTGTTGACCACTTTCTATCCTTCCCTCTTTTTCTCAAACTGTTCTTTGGCTGCTCTTACTTTGGTTCAGGTGGGTTACTGCTTTGGGAAGGTATTCTGGACCCACGGCTCTTCTCAGTGAGGGAAAGGTTTCAGCTCTTCTGTAAGTCATGCTTATATTAGACTAGAACTTGACTCTCACTAGGCAGGTCAACGTGGTGTGGTCCTAGAAAGCCCCTTAGAGAGTGGAGTGGGAATTGAGATCTTGACTTAATTCCTAGCCAGGCGTGGTGGCTCACGCCTGTAATCCCAGCACTTTGGGAGGCAGAGGCGAGAGGACTGCCTGAGTCTAGGGGTTCGAGACCAGCCTGGGCAACTTGGCAAAACTTGTCTCTACAGTAACTCAAAAAAATTAGCTAGGTGTGGTGGCGTGCACCTGTGGTTCCAGCTACTTGGAAGGCTGAGGCCGAAGGATCACCTGAGCCCAACAGGTCGAGACTGTGGTGGCTGTGATTGTGCCACTGTATTCCAGCCTGGGTAACAGAGTTGGACTCTGACAAAAAAAAAAACACAATTCTGTCCATTTACTGGGGGTAATGACCTGACAGTTCCTTGATGGAAGAATCCATCTCTGATGGACAGAATCCTGTCCATAAAGTGCTCTGGACTTCCCAAGAACAAAGGGCTGGAGAAATTACAAAATGCTTGTCACTGTGATTTCTAGCCAGAGACATGACTCTAACTGCTCCCTAAAAAAGTGAGGGTGTGGGGGTCTAACTAGGTTGAACGTTATCCTAGGGTACTCCACAGGGGTAAGGAATGTATACATAATTATTAATAGGACAGGTGACTAGAAAGACAAAGCTCCAGGCTGCTCCTCCACAGGGGATGGCAGAGGGCTGTGTACCATGGATTTGAAGGTTTGAGAGAAAAAAATGTGAATGTGAGCTCTCCTGGCTAGATATCGGGATCCCTGAAGCACCTGTCTCCCCAGTCTCCTTGTCCTCACGTAGTCTGAGGAACCAAGAGCCCAGGGTTATTGATGCTTTTTTCCCTAAATGCTCAGAAGGGGGCAGAAGTTCCTTTCTAGCCAGCTCAGGAACAGAGCTGGGCAAGCCCTGTCTGGCTTGTCCCTTTGGCCCAAAGGGTGGACAGTGAAGGGAGAGAGAACAGTAAGCAAGGCTTCCTCAGAACTTGGGACTGTGGGGCGCGCTTGCCTGGGGACTTGCATTATGGTTCTGAGCTTTGCCTGCTTCAGGGACCTATAAGCTGAGGATGCTGGGCCCAGTGGTAACTGGACACATTTCTGAGCCCCATCACCCCCTTTCCTCTGTTGGATGGTAGACAAGTCTGCGTGTTCCTCACTAGGAATCCATGGCACGACAGTGATTCATTCACACAACAAACATGTGTGAATGCCTACTGTGGGTCAGACGCTGGAGCCACAACAGCAAATAAAGGGACCCATCTCTGTCCCCAAGAATCTTACACAGTCTCTCCCTCCAGCGTCTGGTTTTGTAGCCTGGATGTGTCTGCCACTAGCCAGATGGTGGTCACAGGAGACAACGTGGGCAATGTGATACTGCTGAACATGGACGGCAAAGAGGTGAGTTCTCCCAGGTCCTCCCTGGCCCTTCCTTACCCCCATCTTGGTTCTGTGTCCCCACCTGAACCGAGCTCTTCTCTGCAGCTTTGGAATCTCAGAATGCACAAAAAGAAAGTGACCCATGTGGCCCTGAACCCATGCTGTGATTGGTTCCTGGCCACAGCCTCCGTAGATCAAACAGTGAAAATCTGGGACCTGCGCCAGGTTAGAGGGCAAGCCAGCTTCCTCTACTCGCTGCCGCACAGGCATCCTGTCAATGCAGGTGTGATATCCCAGACCTCAACTCTCCTGCAGACCCCGCCTATCTGACCGCTGCTGGGGTTCTCCCTCAACTTGGGAGCCTCCAGGTCAAATCTTTACCTCTGATATCATCCGCCAAGCTGAAGGCTTGGAACCTTCCTGGCTCTCGCTGCCCATCGGCTGCTGAGTTTCTAGAATATTTTCGTTCACAGGCCAGATTCACCTCTTCCCTTCCACTCCTGTCTAGAGTGGGAAGAATGGTGCCCCTGCAAGAGAAGGCCTACGGAGGCCAGGACCATGGGGGCTCATGGTTCCTTCAGCTCAGGGGCTTTTCACTTTGCCAGCTTGTTTCAGTCCTGATGGAGCCCAGCTCCTGACCACTGACCAGAAGAGTGAGATCCGGGTCTACTCCACCTCCCAGTGGGACTGCCCCGCGGGCCTGATCCCGCACCCTCACCGTCACTTCCAGCACCTCACGCCCATCAAGGTGAGTGATGGAAGGGAGCTCCCAGAAGGGAGCTGTGACCATGAGGATGGACCAAGTCAGCCTGCGTTGGCAAGGGGCAGAGACAGTAAGCTACAGGCCTAGAGCCCCTCTTGCCCACACAAAGCTCTTTGGGCCCTCTTGCGCTCTCTGCTCATTTATCCCACCCTGTGATCCATTTTGTGGGGTTTCCTGTATGTCTCTCTGGTCAGCTATTTTCCTGAGTTTTTTCAGCCCAGCCCTGATCTCGCCATAGGCGTTTTCTGAGATCGTGACTCTGTTCCGTCTTTTCAGTTTCACTTGTACGTGTAGTTGATCTTTAGTCTGTCTGGCGGGTTTAGGTGGCTTCTAATAATAGAAATAAGTCCTTTATTTTCCCATCTTTTTGCAGGTCCTTATTCATGGCTTCTCTATCCTTGGTCCCCAAAGCTTACAGCCTTCGTCCTTTGCTTCCTTCTTGCCTAAGCCCTCTTGCAGCCGAGCTCTGCCAGTTCTGCATTCTTTTCCAGAACCACAGATCCTCCTCACCTCTTCAGGCTTTATGCCTGTGCTTCTCAGGTCAGTGCAGCCTAGTGGTGGGAGCACCAGCTTCAGGCAGGCAGGCACCCCGGTTAGAATCCTTGGGCAAATGATTTACATTTTGGATCTCTATTTCCTGTAAAACGGGGGTAATAGTATCTGACTCATAGAGGTATTATGAGGATCAATCAATATAAAGCACTTGGCCCCATGCCTAGCACCTGGTAAGTACTCAGTAAATGATGATGATTTTGATTTTGTTTGTTTTTGAGTCAGGGTCTCACTCTGTCACCCAGGCTGGAGTACAGTGGCTCACTGTAACCTTGACCTCCTGGGCTCAGGTGACCCTCCTGCCTCAGGCTCCTGAGTAGCTTGGACTACAGGCATGTGCCACCACAACTGGCTAACTTTTCAATTTTTTGTACAGGCAAGGTCTCACTGTGTTGCCCAGGCTGGTCTCGAACTCCTGAGCTCAAGCAATCTTGTCACCCTGGCCTCCCAAAATGTGAGGATTATAGGTGTGAGCCACTGTGCCCAGCTGATGCTTTAGTATTAAGTGGCTTCCATGTACCTCAAATCAAGTCCAAGCTCTTAAGAAATAGCATCAAAAATCCGTCCCCAGTTGGTGTTCCTGTTAATCCATCTGTCCCCATCTCTCACTTTGTATCCAGCCAGGCCTCTTTACAGCTTCCCATGTATGACTTGTTACTATTTTCTTTTTTTTTTTTTTTGAGTTGGAGTCTCACTCTGTCGCCCAGACTGGAGTGCAGTGGCCGCTCCCGGCCACCGCAGCCTCGCCTGCTGGGCTCCAGCAATCCTTCCACCTCAGCCTTCCAAGTAGCCGGAATTACAGGCATGCACCACCACGCCCAGCTGATTTTTTGATTTACTGTAGAGATGAGGTCTTGCTGTCCAGGCAGGTCTCGAACCCGCGGGCTCAGGCAATCCACTCACCTCAGCCGACTTGTTACTATTTTCAAGCCATTGCATATACTGTTTCTTCTTTTCTGATAATCATGTCTTTTCTTCAAAACTTCCTTGAGAAGTTTTATTAGGAAAATCCCACCTAATTCTGTCATTCCAGTAACTGCTATATTTGCTTTTAGTGGGATTATTTGGGGAACACAGGTTTCCTCCTGTTTTTGCCACTAGCAATTTTATACTTGATGCATAGTTATTCATGTTGATGGAGGAGGGATAGTAGTGGGGATCCTTCAGAACTTAAGGTTTTGGTCACTAAAGGCCTTTTGCTTTGTTGTAAGTTTACCTCCTAGACCAGTGTCAGGGTCAGGCTGATGTTAAAACATCTATCAGCTGGTATGATCTCAAGGAATGCAAAAGAGAGGGAAGGGCAAGGGTGTCCAAAGGACCAGCAAAGCCAGTTGGGAATTAAAAATTTGTAATGGTAGATGCACACAGTTGAAAATCATTCTTGTTTCATACAGGCCTAATGTCATTATTAAGTTGTTGGCTTGCTACTGACAAAGACGACTTTTAATGTCCCTTTTGATAATGTTCTGCATTTACGCTCGTAACAAGCTTCTCTGTCTCCTAGGCAGCCTGGCATCCTCGGTACAACCTCATTGTCGTGGGCCGATACCCAGATCCTAATTTCAAAAGTTGTAGCCCCTATGAATTAAGGACAATCGATGTGTTTGATGGAAACTCAGGGAGGATGATGTGTCAGCTCTACGACCCAGAATCTTCTGGTATCAGTTCGGTGAGGCTTGGGCCCTCAAATGATGGGAGGAAGCAGGGATTCAACCTACCTTATTGACCAAAAGTAGCCAGAAATTAGTCCTTTTGTGCCCTTCTTCACCTATACTTCACCCCCCTCCTCATGCTGACACTCTTATCTCTGCAGCTCAATGAGTTCAATCCCATGGGGGACACGCTGGCCTCTGCAATGGGTGAGTAGTAGCAGAATATATCTCAGACTGGCCAAGCACTACCCTACTTCCCCGGATTCACAGGTTAACCTCAGCTTAGCCCCACCATTCCCCCCAGGGAGCTTCCAGTAAGAGATGACTGGAAGACAGTGGTCTCGTTGGCCTAGGCTCTCTACCCCTCTTGCTTTGTCTTGGTCATGAAAATGCCTGGCTGCTGTCCAGTTTCTTAGAGGTTCCTCACCAAATCCTAGGGTCTCCAGGCTAGCCCCAAGCTCTCAGAGACTGTTAACAGAAGGTGTCAGACTGGTCTTACTCCTTCTAGGTTATCACGTTCTTATTTGGAGCCAGGAGGAAGCTCGAACACGGAAATGAGAGACTGAGACTGAAGAAGGTGTGGGCCAAACGAGGGCTTGGAGCCCACAGGTGGGATCAAGTCCTGCAAGAGGAGGTGGCCAAAAGCATCCAAGTCTTAGGGTTGAAGCAGGGGCACTGTGCACAGGGCACTGTGGGACTGGGACACCAGCATGGTATTGCTCTGGACTTAGCTCCGGAAACTTCAGAGTGGGTGACCAGCTGCCACAAGGGTCCCTCTGTACCTAGCCTGGAACCAAGCTTATCTTGGAGCCAACTTACTTTTCTCCTCTCTGATGTATGGTAGCAGAGTGGTCAGGAAGTGTTGTTTGATTTGTGTTCACTATTGATATGGCCAATAAAACCATACCCAACTGAGCTTCTGAGTGGATCTTCCAGCCGTGACCTGGTCCAAGGGCTCCTTGGGTCTCAGAAATAAAGAAAAGGCACAGAAACAGCACTGACAGTCCAAAACTTTCATTCTCTGGGAGCTGCCTTAGCCACAGTTAGGAGTTACCCAGCTCACAACTTGCATGTACCTCAGGTCCCTGGAGACCCAGCCCAGCTGAGGGAGAGTAGTTTTGTGATTCTGTGTGACAATCCACTTCCCTCCCGCCTTCCCCCACTCCCTCCTAAGTATAAACACCCTTCTGACCTGCTCAAGCTAAGGGGGTGACAAAGATGTCTGAAGCACTGTATTTGATTCTAATGGTGGTTCCAGCCAGACAAGGAAGCCCTGGCTGGCTGGCTGTTGGGGGATCCAGTTCCTTGGTAGTCAGTGTTCATGCTAACAGTTTTCCCACTAAAATAAGCACCAAGATAAGACTATCCTCTGAGCTATTTGCCAAAGACTGGGTTGGAAGAGAAAGAACAGGGCTTGATGGAAGAGCAAGGCAGATCAAGCACCAACTCTGTCAGTTTCTTTTTTTTTTTTTAGAGATGGGGTCTTGCTGAGTTGCCCAGACTGGTCTCAAACCCTGGAACTCAGGCAATCCTCTTGCTTCTGCCTCCCAAAATGCTGGGATTACAGGCATGAGCCACTGCACTCAGCTTGTTGGTTTCTTTATCCCAGGTTCTGAGCGAGAACTGGATACTTGTTTATATCTCAGGTACTTAGGGAGCATGGAGGAAGCAAATCTCGTCTGGAGAAAGCAATGTCCAATAAGTACTTGGTAAACGTCGGGCATGTGAATGCTGAGTGATAGGTGCCATGGGCCAAGCTGAGCTCCACTTGCTCATCTGGCTGGGGTAATCAGAGGGAGGCCCAGCCCAGGGTCCCTGTCCCTGGGCTGGGGAGCAGCAACAGTCAGGAGCAAGGGCCAGCCCACTTCCCCTAGGAGGCAGAGGGAAGAGGGCTGAGTGGTTGTCAGGCATGGTCCTCTCCATCTGCGACGTGGCGGTAGCCAGGAGGCTGGGCCTGCATCCGGAAGAGGATGGTGAGGAGGAGCACTATGAGAAGGAAGAGGATGGAGCCACACACAGCCAAGGCCACGATGACCTCTGGGCATGGGAGGAGAAGAGAAAGGTCATGTCAGCGTTCACTCAACAGATAGTTGAGCACCTACCACATGCCATGTACTGTTCTGACACACGGGACATACAAAGGTGGCCAAGACATAGTCCCTGCTCTCACAGAGTTCACATTCCAGAAGAGACAGAACAAACAAACATGATAGGAATGACAGGATAGATGATGAGTGCTATAAAGAAAAACAAGCGAAGTCGGTCGGTCAGGGAAGGCATCACTGAGGAAGTGAGATTTTGTTTTTTGAGTTGGAGTCTCGCTCTGTCGCCCAGACTGGAGTACAGTGGCCGCTCCTGGCCACCGCAGCCTCGACCTGCTGGATTCCGGCGCTCCTTCCACCTCAGCCTTCCAAGCAGCCGGAATTACAGGCATGCGCTACCACGCCCGGCTGATTTTTTTTTTTTTTAATTTATTGTAGAGATGAGGTCTCGCTGCCCAGGCGGGTCTCGAACCCGCGGGCTCAGGCAATCCACTCACCTCAGCCTCTCAAAGGTGCGGGATAACAGGCTGAGCCACCAAGCCCGGCTGGAAGTGAGATTTTGAACAGAGACTTGGAGTCAACGAAAGGGGCACAAAGATCTGAGAGGAGTGTCCTGGGGCAGAGGACAGGACAAAAGGCCCTTATGTGGGAATAGTCTTGGCATGTTCTAGGGTCAGCATGAAAGAGCAAGCAAGGGGCCAGAGATGGGGCAGGAGACTACATCAAGTAGAGCCTGGAAGGCCGTGGTAAAGAACTTGGAATTAATCCCATATGTGATGGGAAGCCAGTGGAAGATTCTGAAAAAGATAGTAATGTGAGCTGATTTATGTCTTTGAGAAGTAACTGCTGTGTGGAAAGGCTGGTGGGAACAAGAATGGAATCAAAGAACATTAGGAAGCTCTTCAGTAGATCAGGCGAGAGCTGATGGTCAATTGGGCTGTGGAGGAAAGAGCATGTATTTGAAAGGTTGAGCTGATAGGGTTTGACAGTGGACTGGTTGACAGGTATGAGAAACGGGACATTCAAAATAACCCCAAGGGTTATACTGTGCCACTAGGTGACTAATGTGGCATTACACTAAAATGGGAAACCCTGGAGGAAGAGCAGATCTCAGAGGGAGAGTGTTGGTTTTATATACGTCAGCTCTCAGATGGCTTATTTGTCATCTATGTAGAGACCTCAAGTTGGCGGCTGGATCAATCTAGAGCTCAGAGAAGAGATCATGAACTTGGAAGTCATGACAGAAAGACAGAAGTCAGCGTGGAGACGGGGTAGAAAGCCACAAGGTTAGATGAGAGCACCTTGGGAGTCGGCACAGATGGGGAGGGGCCAAGGATGAGCCTGGGCCACCCACTGCTTAGTGGTGAGGAAGCTGCCAGAGAGTTGGGAGGAAAGCCAAGAAAGGGTTGAAGGAAGGAGGAACCAATTAAGTGATGCTGCTGAGGTGAGAGAATCTAAGAACTGGTCACTGCAACAAGAGTGGCATCAGTGCAGCGAAGAAGCAAAGCCAGAGCCTAGGCAGCTCCTTCGGGGATCCCATTCCAAAAAGGAACAAAGAAACAGTGGCAGCTGGGGAGGGACATGGGTCACAGAGGTCTCTGAAATGGGAATGAACTCACAGAGAGGGAAGCACTGAGCCATTGGAGCTCCTTATGGAGGTGAGAAGGATGGACCAGAGGAAAGTGGAGAGGATGGCCTTAAGGAGTGGCTGGGGGATCTGGTGGTGGGAGGATGAGCCAGTTCTCACCTGGCTGCTCTTATATTCTCAGTGATATAAAAAGCCTGGGCATCACCTGAAAGTGAGGAGCACAAAGGGGGTGTGACAGCCTCAGGGGAGAAGAAACTATCCAGAGAAATGCAATCAGATGGCTAGAAGTATGGCAGCTCTCGAGATTTGTGGATATAAACTGAAAGTTCTTCTGGGACGTGACACAGAGGCAGAGCTCACCTGTGTCTGCAGGACCATTCACCAGCTGGCACTCCTGCTGCCAATCCTTGGGAACGACAGGCTCTGTGAGTCGAAGGAAGTCCTGCAGGGGGCAGCGGTGAGAGCAGCCAGGCAGGATCAGGGGCCAGGGGGCCTTATTGCTCTCGTTCCGGAAGTACATCTCCACTGAGAAGTTCCTGAGGGTTGGCAGGAGGCAACATGGGAGCTGCTCACTTGTCTGTGACAGTCCTTAGGCTGCCCTCAGCCACCTCTTGGATGCCCCTCCAGAGGACAGCCTAGTAGCTCCACTCACCCAGTATCTTCCTGGTACAGTTCGAACATGTGGCAGGAGGCGTAGGGGGCTTGTTCACCATTGTAGACATCCAGTGCCATTTGCAGAGCGACCAGGGTAGTGTCGTGCTGTAGGGGAGAGGGCCCCATTAGCACTGCTCCCCCGCACCACCAGGAACCAAACGAGAGATCCAGCTCCTTGCCTGACGTTAGCACACTGGGTTACAGGGACTTACCGCAGAGTAAACCAGCAGCTTAGGGAGTTGGGAGCTGGTTGCCATTAGGGTCAGGTTATTCCGGATCTGAGCCAGCAGGACTCCTGAAGGAGAAAAGTTCTTGGTATCAGTGGCGACAGCCATCACAATTTCTGATCAGACCTATCTGTGCTCATCCTCTGTTAGTCCTGGGCCTGATCACCAACGAGAACTCTTCCAGCTTATGGGGACCACGTAGGAACTCCAGAGCACCCCCTGCTCTCTAAGAACTTTCTTTTTTCCTAAGATAAAGTCTTGCTTTGTCACCCAGGATAGAGTGCAGTGGTGTGATCACAGCTCACCGCAGCCTCCAATTTCTGAGCTCAAGTGATCTCCCCTCTCAGCTTCCTGAGTAGCTGGGACTCTAGGTGTACACCATCAAACCCAGCTACCACTTTCAAATTTACAGAAGGAAAAGATACAGCGAGGCATCTATATTTCAGCACAAATGCAGAAACATGTCCGTTTATAAATGAGCTACGAGTCCCTCCCCATGTTTAAACGATTCCAGTTTGAAACAAACATAAACTTAAGATTGCTTCAGAACACACAGGGGGAGACTTCATGCCTGAGTCACTGCCATATGCAGGCTCTGAAAACTAAGGCGTCAAAAGGAGCTGGCAGCTGGCATGCCCTTTGGTGCTCGGATGAGGAACCTGGTGTGTGTTACTTGGCGATCTGAAAATGGCCTCCCAGGGTTCTCTAGAGGTAACTATTCATTTAGGAGAGGAAGGGTCTCCTGATGTAGGTGAAGCATAAGAATATGAATGGCAGAAAAGAAGCATGTGAGCCTGACTGTGGTCACACAGTGATACACAGGCTAAGTATTGGGAGAACTGGAGAAACTTGGAGGCTAACGGGATGACAAGGAGGGGTCTGGTTTTGAAAGAGCAGAGAACGTTTCAGTAGAGAAGGACAGGTATGAGAAAGCCCCCAGAGCAGATTTTAATGCCGTAGGGTCCGGAGGAGCGGAGTGACATGCTGCCCCTGTCACTCACCCCCCTGAAGCCGGGCCTTCTCCACCTGCTCGTAGATCCCGAAGAGGAAGCGGAAGCTGAAGTCCTTTAGCCGGCTCAGGCGCTGCATGGTCTGGGGTGAGGCCCAGCGCGGCAGGAGCAGCCCGTGTGTTTGCTGTGTACCGCAGCGGGCAGGTTAGCTCCCCAGGCCTAGGCCAGGGCCTCTCCCGGGGTAGCTCTCTGCCCCAGTGGGAAGGTGCCTGTGCGTGTGAGGGAGGGAGGGAGAGGACAGCTGGGGCAGAGGGCTGGAGCCAGGGACATGGCAGACAGTGTTCAAGCCGCAGGGCACAGGAAAGGAAGCTCAGCACAAAAAACGAGGCTCAGCAGAAAGGAGTCTGATACCACGAGAGCTCTGGGTGGAGAGGAGTAGAGACTGCTGACAGTTA